GTGCTCCTGTGTGAGCAGGTAATGGAGCTAGCAAGTCCAGGAAACCCTGACCCTTGGCTATAAGCTGCTCCCAGACAGAGGCTACTGCAGGAGGCACAGTATATGGCATCCGGAGAGCAGGTGTACAAGGCCGCACAGCTGAGACTGTGGCTCACAGGGTCTGCGTGCTGCTTGATGCCTATGTGGGGTCTACTGGCAGGCAGGTAGCCCTATGAGACAATGGTGGGACAGGCGGCTCTGCTGCCAGCCTGGAGGTGGCACTCTGGGAAAACTAGCTGAGACCTGCCCACGCCCTGTCTAAAGACATCAGACAGCAGCTCCTGGCCCAGGAGAAATTCTGGTGACTGAAGGTCCCTCCCAGGTCAGAGTCTAAATACCACCAACTAGACCAGACAGACCCCTTAGTTCACAGGATTTAGGATGATTGTCACAGAAAACCGTGAGAGGCTCCCCTCTGCTATATTTCTCTCTGGCCCTCCATGACGAGCTGACTCTAACAGCCAGCGCCATGCTGCTGTTATATTTCTCTCTAACAGCCAGCGCCGTGCTGCTGTTATATTTCTCTCTAACAGCCAGCGCCGTGCTGCTGTTATATTTCTCTCTAACAGCCAGCGCCGTGCTGCTGTTATATTTCTCTCTAACAGCCAGCGCCATGCTGCTGCTCTCCAGGACGGGCGGGGTCCTGGACCCAGGGCCACCCACCTGCACCAGGAGCAGTCCTTCACGTCAAACCGCAGGAGGTCATTGAGCATCGTCTTTCTGAAAGACAGTCAGAGAGAGGGTGGCAGTCACCAGGCTGCTTTTTTTTTTTTTTTTATGAGACAGGGTTTCTCTGTATTGTTTTGGAGGCTGTCGGTCCAGCCCGGCCTCGAACTCACAAAGATCGGCCTGCCTCTGCCTCCCGAGTGCTGGGATTAAAGGCATGTGCCACCACCGCCTGGCGCCAGGTTGCTTTTGAAGGTGCTACCTCACCAGGATCTTAGAGATGGGCAAGGGCCTGCACCCAGGGTTGGAGACAACAGGAAGGGTTTGGCTCACTGGTCTCTGGACTTTTCCAGAGTCAGACAACCCATCAATGTCCAAAGGACAAAACTAGTGATTAGTGATATGGTCAACTAGGGCTCCCACCACCAGCAGTCTGCTCAAGGCTGATATGAGCATGAGCCAGCCCAGAGACTGGAGTCATCACTCACTCCTCACTCCAGCCTCCAGAATTCCTACTCCTACACTTAACCCTCCCGAGGCTGCACCACGATGAAATGCTGGCTCAGACATCAGTGGAGCCCTGCATGCGTTGCCATCTTCCTGTCACCTGACGTAACAACTGCATTAAAAAGAAACCCACTGTCCACTGGGTCAGCTTACATCACTGGCATGTTACCAACTCTTGTTAATGTGGGAGAACAGTGACCCAACCAGACCTCAAGCACTCCCTTCAGGCCTCTGCAGGGCACCCCTGCCTTGCTCGGTCTGTGCCGGGTGGATACCCTCCCTGACTTCATTTTATGGGAGAGGAAGCACAGTCAAACAGCCATGAAGGCAAAGCTTAGAAGCTGGGATCATGCTCTCCCTCATTTAACCCCCTACTTAAATGTAGGGGCATTTATTAAAATAATGGGAGGCCACTGTTTTGAATTAAGTTCCTACACTAGGCCCCCAAAGAGAAGGGCAAACCAGAACAGTTAGTGGGGCCAAATGCCTCATCAATTCAAGCACCAAGGATCAGATGATCCTAAAACCTAACAGTTTCCCCCCCCCCCCAAACCAGAAAGTGCAGTCTACCTGGGTCTGTGTGGTGAAGCCCCTATGGCGGCCCTGAAGAACTCTAACCGAACTAATCAGGCCCTACCCCAACGCCAGGTTTCCTTGCCCCTGCCTTCCAATATGCACAGTTGCTACTGCCCAGCAGGAGCCCTTTTTTCCACTCTGTTGAATGGAGGCTGCCCTGGTTTACTTAAGTCAAAGGCAAGCAGTTGCATAATTAAACTTTCTTTTGAAACTGCATACCCAAAACACTTCTGCTTTTCACCACACACTTGTCTACCTGCTCCAGAAAATGCTAAGGACAGGGATCCCAAGTTCCCACCCACCACCCCATGCTGGACAGTGGTCTTTTATAGCATGGGGAATTCTTACACCAACTGTGACATCTGGGCACTGGTACAGAGAAGTGAGAAGAAAGATGCCTTGGGGAAATAAATCAGCATCAACACTTGCCCTGTTGGGGGGTGGGGCAAATGGAGCTGGCAAGAGAGGGCACAAAGGCCTTGTCCATAAGGATCATTAGACAGGAAGCCAGAAGTGTTTCAGGGAAGGAGCAATGCAAAGGGCTGGACAGCAGGGCGTTTGGGACAATCCAAATGCAAGGTAGCCAGGGGGCAGGCTGAGAGTGAGGAAAGCACAAGCGCAGAGGACCTCCCTCATACACTCCTGTAAGGACTGGGCTTCACACAGAGGGTGCTACGGGGCTATGCGCTGAGGAGGAACGCACTCTTGACTTGCAGTTGTAAATGGATGCCCAGCTGCTCTTGAGAAAGGAACTATGGAGATGAGATGATGCCAGAGGACCACGGCCAAGTTTGCACGTCCTAATGGAGTCCTGACAATCTCACCTGCTCAAGATCAGCTACCCTGGGTAGTCCAGGAGGGAGTCATATGCAAACACATAGCCTCAGCTTAACTAAGAAGTCTGTGCGGGGAGACGTGCTCACCAGAACTGCAGGTCATTTCCAGGAAGACTACTTTCCAGGAGGCTAAAGCAACACAGGGAAATCTCCACCAGAAGCAAGACATACACAGCAGCAGTAAAACTGATTTTGGAGGCAGTGAGACCGCTCAGCAAGAGAAGGCACTTGCCACCAAGTCTTGCAACCTGGGTTCCTGGTCCCCGAATGGTAGGAGAAAGATGACTCCTGAATGCGCCCCCAACACACACATAAACAGATGTAAAAACAACAACAAAGCATGTTCTCCATACTTTTGGTTCCAAAGCAAGCAAGGGGGCAAAGCCTAGAGGGCAGAGTAAAGAAGAAAAGTGCCACGCAGAGCTGTGTCTCCTCATTCAAAACAAGTATGTTTCCATGTACTAAGAATGTGCTGCCATTTGAATGCTGGGGTGAGAGGGCTTTCCAGGCAGGATCTTCTCACCATAACCTGGGGACCAGGTACACGGCACCTTACGGACAGGTAAACAGGTTCACAGGTCACACCTAATGATTCCCATTCTTAGGCAACAGTCTCACCGCCATCGTCCGCTGCCACCACTCCCATTAGCAGGCAAACTTACCCGTTGTCTCCGCCAAACACATAGATGGCATCCTTATATGCCACGACTGTGTGCTTGCTGCGCCTAGAAAGAAAGAGGTGAAGGACAGTGAGTTTGGGTCAAGCCTCTCCACTGCCAAGATCTACAGAGACCCTTCAATTCCGTCAGACAGCAAGGACGCCTGCCTGGCACACCGAGGACTCTTCAGACTCGGGGACCCAAACTGGACCGTCTGGTACTCTGCCCAGGGTTACTACTGTGCGACTCCCTGGAAATCGGCTACCCCCAGGACATCACTCGGGGTCTTGCCCCCTTAGAGCCCATCCTGGGGCCTCCTCGGCTCTCGTCGCCACTCCCATTGCCTTCAGGATCCCCTGTACACTGTCGTACCGGGCGCCCACGAATTCGTCGCAGGGCGGGAGGCGCCGCCAGCGATGCACTGTTTCGAAGGGTCCAAAGTTGAGCGTCAGGTACTCGACACTGTCTGAGCAGCTGTGGTCAAAGTCCACACTCGGAGCCACCTTGGAGCGCAACCCTCCTGCCAGGGCCCCGGGCCCGATCTGGCCCCCCGAGCCTCCGGGCCCAGCCATCCTGGGTTCAGGCTGGATGGGCCGCCCGGGTTGCAGGGCTCACGGCCACCGCCCGGGCCGAGCCAAGGGACCACATTTCCCGAAGAGCCCTGCGCCTCCGGTGTCCCACGTCCGGCCAGCTTGCACGCTGGGCCCGCCTTCCCAACAAGCCTTGCGCTCTCCGCCACACGGCGGGCTGTCAAGGGTCCCGGCAGCGGGGCTCCTCACATTATCACACAGTGCTTCACATTCTGAAAGCTTTTCTGGCCAAGAATCAGCTCAGGTGTCCACTTTCGGGAAACGCGGTCTGACCAGAGCATGCCTTATAGTCGGTCTTTGTCATCACCCGGAAGCCACCACCCCCGGAACTCCAGAATGAGGTTTCCGGCTTGCAGGCGGCTCAACCGTCCGCCTTATATTTGCACCCCCAAACCTGGCCTTCAATGCTCCCCTCTCCCTTTGGCGTTCTTATTGTCCGGAACTCTTGGTAGCGGAGAACCCTGGTTCTCCGCTTCTGTTTCTGAGCAGGAGCTTCATTTGTTTCTCCCCCTTTCTGCGGTGGGCTTTGAACCCAGGACTTGACGGGCAAGCACTGCACTAGACTACACCACAAACCGTAGTTTTTACATTGTAGTTTGAGGCCAGTTGAATTATTTCTTCGCTTGTGAAATAAGGATTCGCAAAGTTCAGGCAAAATGGACAGTGAAGCCATGAAAATGAAATCGTAAAGCTAATTGGTTTCCACTTTTTGTGGTAAGTGCATATAAACATAAAATAGTAAAAGTGAAGTCACCAGCGACTTCATAATGGCTATCATAGCTGTACAAAAGATCACTGAGATATACAGAATGGGACTGGGTAAGTTTTTGAGTGGCTACTGTAATCCAGATGAGCATTTCCATTTCTGAGTATATAACAATGAGATGATTTAATAACAGTAGCAGAGCAGCTCAGGTGGCTGTGAGGAGCATGGCGTCTGCTTTGGGACCCAGTTCCTATCTACCTTAAGTGGGCAAATACAAAAGCTGCCTTTGGCTTCTGAACCTTTTAAAAAACAAAACAAGAGCTCACGTAGCTCAGGATGGACTAACTCTGCTATTACAGGTATGTCACACCATACCTGGCTCTCCCTCAAGTGCTGGCCCAATTACACTGGGACTCAGGTCTGTAGATACATGTGTTTTAATTTTAAGGTAATGTTACAGGCTCTTGCTGGGAAAATAGTCCTAAGAAAGGAAATAGGCAGAGCCTGTCCTGCCTCTAAAATCAGCTGTCAATGCAGCTGAGCCTTGGGACAGACCATCTTCTGGAGACAGCAGGAGCCTCTCTGGAGGGGAGGCAGACAGTTGAAGGCCTTGGGAGGACTCAGATTCCACCCTGGGGTATGCTGGGAAATAGGAGATTGGCACTTGCCCCCAGGACTTGGCCTCTGACCCTGGTGCCCAGAGGCCTGCCCAAATCCACCACATGAGAGCTCAGGATCCTCTCCCTGTGAGCCAAGACATGTCACCGGTTCTGTAGGGACGAGAGAGTGATGGGTCAGAGCAGAAGAGGGTAGGTTTTCCACTCCAGGCACCATGAGCACAGGACTCTTGAAAACAGCAGCGGGGATGGCTCTGTGTCAGAGCCTCGTGCCCAGCAGGGGAGTGGACTTGGGCAGGGTAGGAGGATTTGATAATTGGGCTGGGGGAAGAAGAGGCTCAGAACAGTCAACAGGAAAGGCAGAGCACACGTACTTGCTGTGTAGCATAAACAGCCTTTGCGAAGGCAAGAGGGGAAACAGAAGGCCAAAGAAAGCATGTCACTTATGAATTCTACTCTGGGTCTTGCGCTGTTTCCACCCTAGGCTTTACCCCTGTCAGATAGCATTCAGCCCCTCAGTGATTTGCCCCTGTTAGGTAGCCTTCAACCCCTCAGTCACCTCTACCCTGTCCCTAGCTCCTGGAAGTTCTTTATGCACAGGTCAAGCTACAGGGAACTCTCATTGGCCCTGTGCTGGGATAGAGTAATGGCTGGTGTCCAGTGCCTCCCAGACCTCCCATCCCCCACATGTCTGTGTATGCCGTATCTGCGAGCACCACTCACTAGTTGTGTTTCCCCACCTAGGCTTAGCACAAATCATATTGGTCAGGAGTCCCAGGCTGGGCTCACTCAAGTAGTGGGCTTTGCCTCCATCCCACAGCACTGGCTCCTCTCTGGGGCACACTTGTTTTCCTTCTGTTCCTGCAGTCACATCTTGTCAGCTTCTAAATCACAAATTCATCCCCCATCCTACCCAGGAGCCATGGGAACTGAAAGTAAGGGGAAGAGCTCTACAGGACTGTGGGGGCAACAGGCTGCCATGGTAGCTTGAGTAGATCCTACCCAGGACACCCCCTCACACGCCCCAAAATCTCCCACACCCGCACTCACTCCACCTCCCGCTTCCGGATGGCTCGACCTGAGGCCAGCACCTCAGCCACCTTGGATACGATGGGATCGTAGTTCATGCTGGCCACAGCAATCACTTCGTCACCTCTATAGAGAGAAGGAGCCTGAGGACCACTAGCAATGGTCCTGCTTGGAGATCCCAACACCCTTCTGTTCACCTGGGGTGCTGGGAAGCTCTTGTCCAGGGAAACAGGATGTCCTGAGCACCCAGCGCCCCAGGCCTGGGCACAGCGAAGGCATGGTCCTGGCCTCAGCATCACCTTTTCTCTACCAGTGTGGCTCTCCTAGTGTAGACACCCACCTCGGTTCCAACACTTACCTCAAACCAGAGGACGCGGTGTTGTTTGACAGTGGAAGGACTGTTACTGCCTCCATCTTTGTGATGCCTCCTGCCCAACTACCCCTCTTTGCCATTCACTTCCCTTCGGCCAGGCCCCCGCCACCACTTTGCTCCTACTGAACATCCATTCCCAATGGCTCCCACTGCTTTCCATTGCACCCCGTTTCTCTCACTTGGTGTAAAAAGCCACAAACTTCAGCTCCTCCAGATCCCCCTGAATGATGACATCATCGAAGCCTTCTCCGTAGCCTGTGGGAGGGTGCCCATGTGAATGGGGGAGGAACAGAGTCTTTACAGGCTCCTAGCCTGCCCTCCTAACTCCTGCCTAAACAACCTCCCTTCTATCTCTGTCTTGGTTTTTACAGACAGGGTTTCTCTGTGGCTGTCCTGGAACCCAATCTGTGGACCAGGCTGGCCTCAAACTCAGAGATCTGCCTGCCATGGCCTCCTGAGTACTTGGCCTAAGGCAATTGCCATCGTCTAACTCTTACTCTGAGTGTGTGCGCGCGCACGCGTGTGCGTGTGTGTATGTATGTCAGAGGACGGCTTGCAGGAATTGATTCTCTCCTTCCATTATGCAGGTCCTGGGAATCAAACTCAGATCATGAGCATGTTAGTAGAGCCCTGTTGGGAGATGTCATTCTGTAAATATTATTGGTTTAAATAAAGCACTGTTGGCCATTATGGAAGCAAGATAGGTGGGACTAAGAGTTTAAGAGGATTCTGGGAAATGTAGTGAAGAGTCCTAGCAATGTGATCCCTGGAGGAGAGAATGCAAGTCTGGCGTTCTCGGGAAAAATAAGTCCTTATAAAATATATATTGGTTATTTTGGGTCAATGATTAAGTCGAGCTAGCAGATTAAAAATCATAGCAAACGGCCAACAGCTTCAGAATTAATATAGTGTCCTGTGTGTTCATTTGGGACTGATGGGGCTCTGGGACCAGGCTAGTGGGAAGAATGCATGTTACAGAGCCCTACCCACTGATCCATCTCACCACTGCTGTTCCGAACTATTCCTAACCCACCACCTTAGTCTCAACACTAAACCCAAATTAGCTCCCAATCCCTGATCTTCCCATTTTAGCCATCAGACTGCTGGGATCACAGTATACAACCATACCTGCACCAAGCCAGCTTGTTTGCCAATTCTTAGTTCTTACTGGATCCAACCCCCACACTTAATCCCAAAGTGCCTTCAGGCCCTACCCCCTAACTGCTAGGTCAGAGCCCCCATCCCCACGATGGGCTTTTAGCTACCCTAGACAGGCTTTTAGTTACCAGCATAGCGGAGGCTCTTGCCAAACATGGCAGTCCACAGATAGGGCACTGTGTTGATCTCCGCCTCCTGTGCCAGCATGTTCTGAGCTGCTACCCGCCCTGAAAGACCCAGGGGGGTTAGAGCCCATCCCTTTCCCTCACCACCAACACTGCCTGCCCTCAGCCCCCTCTGGGGACCCTGACAGGTATAGTTGGTATCCAGGACTTCCCCAAAAGGCATCATGTTCAGCTCATAGCCCACCTTTGGATGCTATGGTACAGAGGGAACAAACAACTGGTCCCAGAGATCCACCTACACTGCCCCTCTTTGATCTGCTGTACATCTGAAAGGTGTACTGGGGTTGTGAACTACGTCACAACTGTGTTCACGGAAAGCTAATCAGACATCAGATGGAGAGAGAGATGGCACTAGAGCACAAAGGCCAGAGGAAAAGTGACAGCCCATGCAGGGCCTGCAGCGTTAGCACAGGTGGCTGTCCACTTCTGAGGCTCCGCCTCAGCTCATAGTTGGATACATTTAAGAAGCTCTGGACAGCCTAAGTCCTAATTATATTTGACCAAGGAGCAGCCTTTGGTTCCTTACTCGGCAGCAGCAACTTTAGACCTCGAATTTGAACAGATGCTGGAATTAGGAGATACCATTATCAACTCTGCAGATAATGGTGAAGGAAGAACAGAGGAAAGGCAGATGTGTGGGGAAGTCCCTTTCCAGACTAGACATGCAGAGGTCCTTCACAAGGCCCTCAAATGGGCCACACGCTGCTATCTGCATCTTACAGAATGAGACCATAGTCCATGGGCCTCAGGAACCCTGGTGGCTACCAAATGTTGGGGGAGACAGTTGCATAAAAATCAAATAACACAACCGAGTCTGGGCTACATAGCTGTCTCCAGGGATCCATGAAGCTCACAGAGACACAGTGGTGCAAGAGAGACAGGCCCTGAGTAGGAAACTAGTCTACTGAATAAACCCTTTCTCCCCTCCGGGGTGGCCTGGCCAAGGGGGAGTTCTGCTAAATACATGACCTTGAGGACAGTGAAATGCCAATCGGGACTGGAAAGGGGTTTGCCCAGCTTAATGGCATAAAGGGGTCTCTGGAGATGGCCACTCTGTACATTGATTGATCTCTGCATGAGGTGCACTGAACAAGCCATCACCTAGCCTTGAACTTAAGACCCCACATCGGCAACTGGGGAATGGGGAAGGTGGCTGAGACCCTGGGATGGCCTTCCAGCCCTCAACTTGCTTCAGGGATAGCCATACCCTGGGCATGAGCCATCTGCCAGTGTGGAATGTTCACTTTCCGATTGTTCCTCCAGGCAAGAGGAAAGGTGACAGCATCACCAGCAGCAAACACGCCTGGGATGTTGGTCTGCATCATCTGTGGGGAGAGGACCAGGGCTCTGTGGGTGGGATGGAGGCCTCCAGCCATGCTCCACCCAGCATCCTGCCCACTTCACCCAGTCCCACCTTGTTGACTGGGATGAAACCTCGGGAATCCAGACTGATGCCACTCTGCCTCAGGAAGCCTGTGGCAGGCACTGCACCTAACGGGACAGAAGCCATGCATCTTCACTCTGCCCCACCTTCCTCCCGCCTCGTCTCTCTCCATCCCGCCGCACCTGCCTGCCCAGGACTAATCACCCACAGAAGACCCACCTGGGTCTTCATGAATCCCACCCTCCATGCCCCCATCCACAGGCTGTGCTTCCTTCCCATTTAGCCCCAGGAGCTGTCTGTTCAGTGTGTGCTATGGAACTCTCCTGATGGGGGTCCACAAGTCATGCTTCTCCAACCCTGTGCTGCCATCTTCCAGAGTGGCTCCTCCCCAAACTACTATGTCAGCTGGCATAGGAACCAACCAGAGGCTCATCTGTGTCCTCTGTATCAGTTGGTAGCAGTCACCTGCTCCGTGAGATGCCTGGGCTAAGCTGATGATCCTGTGAAGTGGGTACCATTGGGGTTCTATTTTACAAATGTGGAAACTGAAGGATCCAAGGTCACTTGAGAGTGTGCACGGACAGTTCTGTTCACTAGCACCTGCTTGTCTACCTACTCACCAATGCCAACCACACAGACATCTGCCCGAAGAACCTTGCTGCTCTTCAGTACCACCTCCTGCAGCTGGGGGAAGGAGTGGGTGAGCAGACGGGCACAGTTGCTGAGCACAGGGAGAGTCACAGGGAGCAGCAGCAGCAGGGAGAGAAGCCCACCTTGCCCTCCTGAGCCCGCAGCTCCAGCACCTCTGTCTGCATATAGAACTTCACATGGTTGTTTTCAAACATCTGTACAAGCAAGCAGGCGCATGGGCAGTGGGTGAGACACTTCCTGGCTAGGCTAGTCCCTCAGGGTGTTCATAGGCCAGGCATTGGAACAGGCTCACCTTCATAAGGGCACGACCGACACGTTCCCCCAGGAACCTCCGGAAGGGTGTCTCCTCCAGCTCCACCACAGACACTGAGTGGGCCTTCTCAGTTAGATAGGCAGCCACCTCCATCCCTGGGTGATAGGCAGGGGTGGGAAGGCTGGCGCTGACACCTAGGGCCAGAACACCCTGGGGACTGCCGTGGTGGCTAACCACCACACACATCCCTTGAAGCTACTCACCCAGGAAGCCCGCTCCCACAACAACAGCGTTGCGGCCACGGGCCAGCCGCAGGACGTGATTGGCGTCCTCGGGTGTGCGGATGGTGAACACATTCTCCACATCTCTGCCTTTGCAGGTCAGGGTCTTAGGGCTAAGAGTCACTGGTATTAGTGAGGGCCTCCCGTCCTGGCAGATGACCAGCTGCCTGGTGTCTGGTAAAGGCAGGAGACATACACCTACCTGCTTCCTGGTGCCAGCAACAGCTTGCTGTACTCCAGCTTGAAGCCATCCTTGAACACAGCCTTCTTGTTCCTCACATCCACTGTGACCACCTATAACCCCCAGTAGGCAGAGTGAGCCCTTGGCACAGGCTTGGGCCTTGTTGCTCACTTCTGAGTTCCACAAGGTTCCCAGAACCCAGAAATTAGGCTCCTTGCAGCAAACTCAGGGCAGTCTTTATACTTCCAAGTCCCACCATGCTCTCTTGTCTAAGCTGGGATCAGACCATCTCCCCCGACCCTACCACCCTGCTTGGAAGAAGGCTCAGTGCTGGGTCCCAGGTCAGGACACAAAGACTGAGCAACCATCACGCCCCAGGGGTACACATGGCCTCATGTCATTTCTGGTTCCCCTGAAGCTTTTTCTTCTTCCTTTTTGTTTTTCCAAGACAGGCTTTCTCTGTGTAGCCCTGGCTGTTCTGAAACTCACTCTATAGACCAGGCTGGCCTCAAACTCATAGAGATCCACCTGCCTCTGCCTCCTGAGTCCTGGGATTAAAGGCGTGCACCAACCAGCCAAGCTTTTTCTTTGCCTGTTTCCACGCTCCCCTCGTACCTGGGCTTCAGTGAGCATCTCGATGCCATAGGCCCGGAAGAATTCCTTGGGCCTTAGGGCCAGCTGCTCCGGTTGTGCATCCAGGGACTGGGGAACACGGGCCATATGTGAGTCAAGGCCATACGTGAGTCTAGGCCAGATGGTGAGGTGGTGGCTATTCCATTTTATTTTATTTTTTGAGACAGGGTCTCAGTTTGTAGCTCTGGCTGGCCTGGAACTGGCTACGAAGATCAAACTCACAGAGATCTACCTGCCTCTGCCTCCCAAGTGCTAAGATGAAAGGTGTGTTCCATTTTATTGTAGAGGACACAGAACCCAGGGAAGGTGAGGCCACTCTGGGTCACCCGGGGGCTACAGGATAGAACTCAACAAACCCAGATCTCTTTGGGAGCACCGCAGACAGGCCTGAGAGACTGGAGAAAGCAGTTAGCTAGACCTCCAATCTGGGACAGGGATGTGACAGGGACCTGGAGGAATAAGGAGCCAAGCAGTGCCCCCATTCCCACCTTGCTGAGCTTGGCCCGGTCATAGGGCAGATGTCGGTCTAGGGTGCAAAGGACGATGCGGTCTGAGAAGCCCTCCTGTCTCAGTGTCTCTGCACACACCAGGCCAGCAGCACCTGAGGGACAGGACCATAGACCAAGGCCAACGTCTCTCCCACCCTCCAAGCTTCCCCTTTCCTTCATTGTGCCCAACACCAACCTGCACCCACTATGAGCACATTGGTGCCACTGCTGTGGCCAGCACTTGGAGATATACACTTGGCCATCACCTTTGTCCTTCGCTGCAGCTGCAGGGCCTGGGAGTGGTGAGGGGAGGGCAGCTGGGAGCTCGGTTCCTGAGGTTCCAGCCCAGCCTCACCTCCGCCCTGCGACTCCTCCCATGCCAGGCTCTCTTCCACCACAGGCCTTTGGAACATGCTCTTCTCTAGCCGAGATATCCCCCCAACCTGCTCCGAACCCTTCCACTAAAACCCGGGCCTTAGTGCGCCACCCTGGTACCTGCTTGCTTGCCCGGACAGTCACCTTCTCCTTCTCAATCTTCACCTGTGAGGGCAGACAGCATCAGCATCAAACTCGGAGATGCTTCAGTCCTGTCTCCACACCACAGACTCCCACCATACCTGGAACTTATGCAGACTGTCCAGGCCTGGGAAGTCCTCTAGGTCCCCAGTACTGATGTTGAAGCAGGCACCATGCCAGGGGCAACGCACACGGCCCCGGGACAGTACACCTAGGAGAGGCAAATGGGTCCCAGGCTAGAGCCATGCCCAGAGACTGCTCTCTAGGGCTCCTACTGGACTGGATCCTGCTGGACCTCTCCCCAGCCCAGGAGACCCCACAAATGAATGAGGGCCCTGCTGGAATCCCTGTATTGACACGGATGGCTGTCTCCCACCTCCCATATATAAATAACCTCACCTTTCACCAGCGGTGCTCCATAGTGCGGACATTTGTGGCCCAGGGCATGAAATTCCCCATTGTCCTTCACCAGCAACACCTTCCCCCAGCCCAGCTCCACTTCCCGCATCCTGGGGAGGGACTGTGTTCAGTTAGAGCCAGAAGCTAGCCATGTCCTCCTGTAAGCATCTCCTCCCAGCGTCCAGTCTTGGGAAGCCCAGAGCAGCTGGAGTACAAAGGCTGCTCCCAGGGAGTCACAGCCCATTTTAGACCACTGCCTCAACCCAACCCTTCCCCATGCCCTCCACCTCAGGCCCTACCACCACCCTCGAATCCCAGCACCCACTGGCCATTCTCAAGGTCCTTGACATGGCAGACAGTAGCCTCCACACAGTCCTGAGGGCTGGGGTAGGGCTGTGGGGTGGGCAGACGCTCCTCAGCATGGAAGTGGCGGGCTGTGCCATTGCCCTGGTAAGCCAGGGGGCTGCCCTTTCCGCTGGCCGACAGCTCCTCCTTGCCCCGCTCTTTCTCAGGCAGCACCACTTCAATCTTGAGTTCCACTGTGGACGAAGCAGCCATGAGCCAGTTAGGACTGAATCAGCTCTGTTCCCACCCCACAGGCAAGGCAGAGGCCAGCAAGAGGTGGCTGACTTCAATTCACTTTTGCATGTTTTCTTCTTGTTGAAGAACCCAGCGCCTGCCTCAGGCCAGGCCAGTACTATAGTCAGCCCAGAAACCTTTATTTTCCCAAAGACAGTCACAGAAGGATTCACAGAACACAGCTCTTCATACTGGAGCCATTTTCTCTAGAAATGTCTGGAGGAAAACACCTCCATCCCCAACTCATGAATCTAATGATGGACAAAGACGATGTCCCTGCTTGGAGACCACTTGCAGCTCAATTCACAGCTAGTGTATCTAGGCAAGGGGAAACTGAGTTCACTGGACATAGTGGCTCGCTCACACTTGTCCTGACGCACTCCAGAGGCTGAGCAGGACTTTCACAAGTCCCAGACCAGCCTAGAGAACAAAGTAAGACCCTATGTCAAAAAAATGATAAGGGGGGAGACAAGAATCACTGTCCTTGGAACTTTCCCATTAGCTTTGAATATGTTCCACTGTTTTGGGGTTTTGTTTTGTTTGTTTTTTAGATGGTCTTATATAGCTGATCCTCTTACTTCAATTCCCAAGTGGTATGATCACAGGCAGGCACTGCCTACTCAAGCTTGAAAAGTTTATCTCTTTTCGAAATTAAAAAAAAAAAGATTGTCTAGAGCTGGAGAGTTGGCTCAGTAGTTAAGAGCACTTCTTGTTGTTTCATAGGAACCAAGTTCGATTCCCAGCACCCACACAGAGGTTCGCCACCTCCTTGGGCACCAAGCACAAATGTAATGCATAGATGAACATGTAGACAAAACACTCATACACATAAAATAGCAAAAGTAAATCTATAAGGAAAATGGTGTCTATTCACAGCTTGTGAAGAACAGGCTCAAGATTCTGTCCTTAGAACTGCAACAACAGCAATAATAACAATAAATTAATGTTTTAAAAGCCAGAACAAGACATAGTAGTATATACCTGTGATACCCATACCTAGAAGGTAGAGACAAGAGGGTCAAGAATGTGGTTTTTTTTCAAGACAGGGTTTCTCTGTGTTACAGCTCTGGCTGTCCTGGAACTTGATCTGTAGACCAGGCTGGCCTCGAACTCACAGAGATCCACCTGCCTCTGCCTCCTGAATGCTGGGATCAAAGGTGTGCACTACCATACCCAGATACCTTTCAACTTCTTAATATAGCTGTGTCTATCAGTTTGGGATTCATTCAGTATTTACCAAAGCCCAACTAGTTGATGTCTCTGTGTACAGAGTCTGGAGCCCGGAGACTGAAACCACCGAGGGCATGAACATAACAGGCCATGGCTACCACACGGAGTCTGTTCAGTTTTGGGCCTACTCCAGGGTAGCAGGAGTAGGTATCTGTAGACTGACATTTTCTTCTTTGAACTTTTCTGCATTTCCCAAAATCCCCATGACGTGCCTGGGGTATTTTTTTTAATTAGAAAGGAACAATAAACAGAATTTTGAGCAGCCATAATCCGGTCTCCTGGGCTGCTACGGTAGGGAGGAGGCCGAGGAGGAGGAGGAAGCTAAGCCCCGGGCACAGCATGGGCTGTTGTGGGAGCAGGTGGCTCCTCTCTCCATCCCCTGACATCAAAGCCTCTCTCCCGCTTTTACCTCTGAACCCCTTCACCTTAGACCTGACCCCACCGCAGAGACAAAGGCCACAAGGTCCAGTCTGGCCGCTGAGTCACACCTCCTAGGCCATATCTGTACTTGCTGCTGCCCCGGACCCCCTCCCTCCAACAGTGACCCTGGACCCCCTCCCTCCAACAGTGACCCTGGACCCCTCCCTCCAACAGTGACCCTGGACCCCCTCCCTCCAACAGTGACTATGTCACACTCAGGTACAGCTCCAGGCCTTGTATCCTCTGGCTCTGTAGGCCCTGAATGGGTCCTTGATCCTTCCATGCTGGGCCAAGTCTCCCTCCATAGCCAGGGAACCCAGCCTCCCACTCAGGCCCAGCTATTGCAGGGGACAGAGGCAAACAGCAGCTCCTTGCCTGGGCATGGTAGAGAGGACACAACCACACTGTGGAGGCCATCATGTGGGGGTGGGGACTAACACGCTTTATGTAATGGTGTTAGAATGTTTTTGGAAGAATTAAGAAGAAAAATATGTCAGGCTCAGCTGACATCAGCGGTGAGAGCTGTGGGAGCCCACAGGAACAGCAGGGTAGGGGTGCAGAGAGCCTCCAAGTCAAGCTGTTAGTCTTTCCTCCTTCCAGAAAGCTCCAAGGCATGCCCCCTGATGTTCTCCTGGGGAGTCATTAGGAGAAGCAGCAGAAGGTTAGGTGGGGGACACTGCTAACCCACAAAGCTGGGTCAACCCATGATCCCATCAGCACCCCAGACACTGTCCTTGCCTCTTGGGCCTCAAGACACTTGAGTCACAAAATGAGAGACCAGGCTATGGTAGAGACCATTGATGGAGTCACACTTAGCTCTGTGTCTAGCATCACAGGGGAGGGACAAACTGTCAGGCATAGTGACTGACACTTGTAATTGCAGCACTTGGGAGCCGGAGGTGGAAAACTGTCAAAGCTTGAAGCTACCCCGGCTCCAAAGTGAACTCTAGGCCAGCCTGGTTACCAAGTGAGACTCTGCTTCAAAAACGGGATAGGGAGGAACGAAGAGCATCTACCCATTTGCTGATCATGTATCTAAGCAGAACAAGAGTTCCAGTTTTGAAACTGTGCAGTAGTGTTTTCAGGTTTTTTTATTTGGCTTGGTTTGGTTTTTGTGCTAGGCCCTGAACTCAGAGACATTCACATGTTCAACGCTCACTCTACTACTGAGCTACACATATGAGCCCTGGTAATTGAGATGTGTCAACTAGCCCTGAGCTTCCTGCAGCCACGGGAAAAAGCAAACACATAATAAAAGGCAGATAGACAGTCAGATCAGGAGAACTGTATTCCTATTTGTATTTTTTAATAGCATGTGGCTGGGCACTCAGGATGGGAGTAGATGTATGTATGTGTGCATGTTTTAGGGAATCCGGGGAGATGCACACACGTCTATCTGTGTGTACATGTAAATCCAGCAGCTTGTGCAGGGAGTCTATTGCTTTCCATTTCTCCTCCTCCTCTCTCTTTGACACAGCCTCTCCCACTGAACCAAGACTTCAGTGACTGACTACTTGGCTACATGCCTGTCTCTTCCACCCCAATACTAGGGTTACAAGTGCACATTGCTACCCCTGGTTTTCATGTGGGTCCTGGCGGTCCAAACCCAGGTCCTGACGCTTGTGTGGTAGGTCCCTTATCCATTGCCTTGGGCCACTTTCTACCAGTTCTGGCATAGGTAAGCAACTGGCTTAAAGTCTTAGGAAGAAGAAAGACCAGACATGATGCTGGGCACCTTAAATCCCAGCTCTTGCCGGGCGTTGGTGGCACACGCCTTTAATCCCAGCACTCAGGAGGCAGAGGCAGGCGGATCTCTGTGAGTTCGAGGCCAGCCTGGTCTACAGAGCGAGTTACAGGACAGCCTCCAAACCCACAGAGAAACCCTGTCTCGAAAAACCAAAAAAAAAAAAAATCCCAGCTCTTGGGAGGCAGGGGCAGGCAGACCTCTGTGAGTTCGAAGCCAACACAGTCGACAGCGTGAGTTCCAGGCCAGCCAGAGCTACACTGAGAGGTCCTGTCTCAAAAACAAAGACCCTCCAGAACACAGCAGGTGGGACTCAGGAGGCCAATGCTGACAACACTAAGATACAGCCGTGAAGAGCAGCAGAGAGAGCAGAACTTACACAGGGGTTTTCTACTTGTTCTACTCTCATTATAGGCTTTGCTGGCCTCAGCTGAAACCCATGTCCTACTCTCATGCCCATACCTGAAACCTCCTGACCCTCAGCCCTGCCTGGAGCCGGGTCCTGAGTCCACCGCTGCAGCCCAGAATCCAGAGGAAGAAAAAGTCACACCTGCAAGTGCTTCGTGCGTGCCAGGGCCAGAGACAGGCACAGTCACCCCACTCCCACTTTCTACAGGAGGACATGGAGGGTCAGAGAGGGGTAGCCAGCACCGGTCACACAGGTAGAAGGCTAGAAAGCCCAGGTTCTAACATTGCCTCTAAGTAGTAAGAATAGCCAAGCGCTTTGAGGCCAGCCAGAGCAACACGGTAACATTCTAGAGAAAGGGAAAGACAAAGATATAGTTAGCTGCTGAAGGTTCCCACCACCACAAAGTCACCGACAGTCAAGCCTTTACTAGGACACAATGTGTCCCCTCAAGTTGTAAGCCAAAATAAATTTCTCCTCCCTTAAAACACCAAGTTTTAAAAACATGAACTGGGTGTGACGGCTAAGGCCTGTAAGCCCAGCCTGTGGGAGGTCACAGCATTTCCAAGACTGGCCTGGTCATTTAGGGCTACATAGCAGAACTCTTTGTTTTTAAACGGGGTGGGGGTTGGGGGTTAGGGGGTGGGGGATGCATGGCTCAGAGGTCATGAGTGTTTGCTGCTTTTGCAGAGAACCCAGGTTTTTATTCCAGCACCCATACCATGGCTTATATCTAACCATCAGCAACTCCAGTTTCAGGAGATAGGATGCAGTCTTCTGGCCTCCACAGGTACTGCACACATGCTATACACTTACTATACACAGGCAAAACACTCACACATAAAATAAAAGTAGCCAGGCAGTGGTGGCACTTAAATCCCAGCCCTCAGGAGGCAGAGGCAGACAGATCTCTGAGTTTGAGGCCAGCCTGGTCTACACGGTGAGTTCTAGGACAGCTTCCAAAACAATACAGAGAAACCCTGTCTCGAAAAACAATAAAATATAAAATAAAAATAAATAAATCTTAAGCCTGGCATGATGGTGTATGCCTTTAATCCCAGCACTTAGGAGACTGAGACAGATCTCTGAGTTTGAGGCCAGCCTGATCTATAAGAGAGTTCCAGAATAGCCAGGGCTACACAGAGAAACCCTGTCCTGAAAATCCTAAATAAACAATCTTTTAAAAAGCAGGCAAACAAACAAACAAAAGAAAACAAACCCCAAGCTGGAGCACATAATGTTCTGAGATCCAGAACCCAAATCAGGTTACTCACAACAGCCTATAACCCTCCTTCAAGGGGGTCTGGCTCTTCTGACACCTGCATGCCCCTGCACTGTGTGCACACCCCTGCACTGTGAGCACACCCATGCACTGTGTGCACACCCATGCACTGTGAGCACACCCATGCCCCTGCACTGTGAGCACACCCATGCCCCTGCACTGTGTGCACACCCATGCACTGTGAGCACACCCATGCCCCTGCACTGTGAGCACACCCATGCCCCTGCACTGTGTGCACACCCCTGCACTGTGAGCACACCCATGCACTGTGAGCACACCCATGCCCCTGCACTGTGTGCACACCCATGCACTGTGAGCACACCCATGCACTGTGAGCACACCCATGCCCCTGCACTGTGTGCACACCCATGCACTGTGAGCACACCCATGCACTGTGAGCACACCCATGCACTGTGTGCACACCCATGCACTGTGAGCACACCCATGCACTGTGAGCACACCCATGCACTGTGAGCACACCCATGCCCCTGCACTGTGTGCACACCCATGCCCCTGCACTGTGTGCACACCCATGCACTGTGAGCACACCCATGCACTGTGAGCACACCCATGCACTGTGAGCACACCCATGCCCCTGCACTGTGAGCACACCCATGCCCCTGCACTGTGAGCACACCCATGCACTGTGAGCACACCCATGCACTGTGAGCACACCCATGCACTGTGAGCACACCCATGCCCCTGCACTGTGAGCACACCCATGCACTGTGAGCACACCCATGCACTGTGTGCACACCCATGCCCCTGCACTGTGAGCACACCCCTGCACTGTGAGCACACCCATGCCCCTGCACTGTGAGCACACCCATGCACTGTGAGCACACCCATGCCCCTGCACTGTGTGCACACCCATGCCCCTGCACTGTGTGCACACCCATGCACTGTGTGCACACCCATGCACTGTGTGCACACCCATGCACTGTGAGCACACCCATGCACTGTGTGCACACCCATGCACTGTGAGCACACCCATGCCCCTGCACTGTGTGCACACCCATGCCCCTGCACTGTGTGCACACCCATGCACTGTGAGCACACCCATGCCCCTGCACTGTGTGCACACCCATGCCCCTGCACTGTGTGCACACCCATGCACTGTGTGCACACCCATGCACTGTGTGCACACCCATGCCCCTGCACTGTGAGCACACCCATGCACTGTGTGCACACCCATGCCCCTGCACTGTGTGCACACCCATGCACTGTGAGCACACCCATGCCCCTGCACTGTGAGCACACCCATGCCCCTGCATTGTGTGCACACCCATGCACTGTGAGCACACCCATGCCCCTGCACTGTGTGCACACCCATGCCCCTGCACTGTGAGCACACCCATGCACTGTGAGCACACCCATGCCCCTGCACTGTGAGCACACCCATGCCCCTGCATTGTGTGCACACCCATGCACTGTGAGCACACCCATGCCCCTGCACTGTGAGCACACCCATGCCCCTGCACTGTGTGCACACCCATGCCCCTGCACTGTGTGCACACCCATGCACTGTGAGCACACCCATGCCCCTGCACTGTGTGCACACCCATGCCCCTGCACTGTGTGCACACCCATGCACTGTGTGCACACCCATGCACTGTGTGCACACCCATGCCCCTGCACTGTGAGCACACCCATGCACTGTGTGCACACCCATGCCCCTGCACTGTGTGCACACCCATGCACTGTGTGCACACCTATGCACTGTGAGCACACCCATGCACTGTGTGCACACCCATGCACTGTGAGCACACCCATGCCCCTGCACTGTGTGCACACCCATGCACTGTGAGCACACCCATGCACTGTGAGCACACCCATGCCCCTGCACTGTGTGCACACCCATGCACTGTGAGCACACCCATGCACTGTGTGCACACCCATGCACTGTGAGCACACCCATGCCCCTGCACTGTGTGCACACCCATGCCCCTGCACTGTGTGCACACCCATGCACTGTGTGCACACCCATGCACTGTGTGCACACCTATGCACTGTGAGCACACCCATGCACTGTGTGCACACCCATGCACTGTGAGCACACCCATGCCCCTGCACTGTGTGCACACCCATGCACTGTGAGCACACCCATGCACTGTGAGCACACCCATGCCCCTGCACTGTGTGCACACCCATGCACTGTGAGCACACCCATGCACTGTGAGCACACCCATGCACTGTGTGCACACCCATGCACTGTGAGCACACCCATGCACTGTGAGCACACCCATGCACTGTGAGCACACCCATGCACTGTGTGCACACCCATGCACTGTGAGCACACCCATGCCCCTGCACTGTGAGCACACCCATGCACTGTGTGCACACCCATGCACTGTGAGCACACCCATGCACTGTGAGCACACCCATGCACTGTGAGCACACCCATGTCCCTGCACTGTGAGCACACCCATGCACTGTGAGCACACCCATGCACTGTGTGCACACCCATGCACTTGCACTACCCGAACTATGGACACACCTATATACACATACACACATACACAATTTAAAGCAATAAAAGTAAGTTTAAAAAAATCAAAAAGGAACTACAGCTATAGCTTAGTTGTAGAGTGTTTGCTTAGCATTCCCAAAACTATGAGTTCTATCCCTAGTACTAAATGCAAATTAATAGTTAATGGTATACTCCTATAGTTCCAGAATGAAGGAGGTGGAAGTAAGAAGATCGATCCCAAGTTCAAGATCATCCTCAACTCCATAGTCAGTTTGAGGCCAGCCTGGGTTATATGAGATCTTGTTTTAAAAAAAATCACAAAACAAAACAACAGACAAGGGATGACAGGACAGGGGACAATGGCTAGCTCTAGATCGGAAGTGCAAGAGTCAGGGGTCCCTGCTTAGGCAGCTCTGTGGCGTTACTTAAAAGAAACTGCAGGTGGTATCTGGTTTCTTTGGTCTCCTGCCAACCAAGCAGAACCACAGGCACCCAGCATGCGACTGACGTGGAATCTTGCTGGCACATCCCTGTCCACTCTGAGAAGGGTGAGACAAAGACCGTGGGTACCTGTGCCAGAGGCTGAGGGACCTGGCACAGACTCAGGCAAGGAAGTGTTGTCCCCACCACCACACCAGTGGGTTACAGCTCTTTTCCCTCCCCCAAGTCCCAAGGTAACCGAGATGATGGGTATCAGGTAAGGAGAGCTACGCAAGCCGGCAGAGTGCGCCAGCCAGGGCAAGCTGGGCAGGGGTGGGCGGAACACTGCACACTGAAGCCCTGGTTTCTGCACCCTGTCATGGCTACAGTTCCCGCTTCCTGGCTCTTAGGACTAGGGAAGAAGGGATGTGTGGACTGGGGGACAAACTTAGAGACAGGAGTTCGATGGCAGGGCAGATCCCAAGCTCTCTCTTGCCTTGGGATGAGCCTACCTCTGGCTGGAGCTCCTAGGGCTAGGTAGGGTCAGGGTTTTCTCTAAAAAAGGAGAGGACAGAAGGGCATGATGGTGGCCGTCTTTAATCCTAGCACTTGCAAGGCACAGGCAGGAGGATCTCTGTCAGTCTGAGACCAGACCAGCGTGCTCTACACAGTGAGACCCTGTCTCAAAAACACAAAACAAACAGGAGATGAGACCCAGACATGACGCTGGATAGCAGGCAGTGATGAGAAGAGGCAGAGACCTGCCTGTCATACCCTGTCAGTCTCGGAGGCCAGTGTCCAGGTCCATTTTCTAGGGGGAAACTGAATCTCAAAGAGGTCGCCCTGAGGCTGAGAATGTCTCCAGAGCCTTTCTCCTCCTGCAGTGGAGGAAGTAGCCCTTTCCCTACCTTCTAGACCCCACTTCCTACGAGGGACCAGCTGTTTTCCCCACCACTAACACACAAAGCCCCAGATAAAGACGGGCTGCTACAGGAGAGCCCAGGAGAGCCTCCCCAGGCCTTCACCCCTCTCGCCTACAGTGCATTAACATTCCGGGCTCCTGCCTAGCTGACCTACTTTGGAGGTTGGTGGAGTGCAGAGAGGGAGGGGGAGGTTGTCAGAGACGGGGAGGTACCTGGCTTGGGCTTGGAGAAGCAGCCACCCATGGTGAACGGCCTGAGATCTGGCCTGGCTAGCGGGAGCACAGATGGCAGGCTGTCCAGCTGTCCAAGGTCTATGATGTCCCCTGCAGGACCGGACCCCCTTCGGTCTTCAGAGACGCTGGAGCTGCCATGTCAGCTGGACAGCTTCAGGACCTGCAGGGAGACGGAACATTGGTGCAGGTGTGAACACTGACAAAGGAGTGTTTAGAATTGGCGGCATCTTGGGAGGTGGGGGGCGTCCTGAGAGAGTCCTATCTGGGGAGCTGAGAACAAGCATGTGGGTACTCTGGATAGCATCTGTCTCACTTTGAGGCTTCCAGGCATAGGAATCTCATACTCCCCTTATCTTTGCATGCACGGCTGGAGACCCTCTGTGCCTGCCATTCTCCATGTCACCTGCAGCTGCAGAGACACTGGCTCCAGACTTCCCTTCCTTTCCCAGGAGAGACTCTGAACTCTCGATTTTCCTAGGGAAGACCTCCAAGTCTGCGCCAAACCCTAGGAACCAGGGTCCCCCTTCCTCCAATGGGAGTAACAAGGGTCTTGCCCTAGCCTTGGCCACTACCCTGACTAGCAACCCCTAGTCACCTACCTCCTCTCCAGGGAGTCATTGCTCCTTGCTCCCAGCCCAGCAATGGAGAGAGATTACTGGGCCTTGGACCACAGGACAGGAAGGGCCAGGGTCCAGGAGGGTCTGGCCCTCCTTCTAGCGTGAGTTGCGGCAAGGAGGGGGCTGTGGGTATGGGGCTAGGCCAAGCCACTGGTCCCCAGGGAAACCCAGCTCTGTGGGGAAAAGAGCGGGCAGCCAGCCCAGGACTGATGGGGTTGGGGAAGAGGGAAACCAAACCACACAACTCTGTTCAGCAGTCCTCAGTTCCTCCAACCCCCTGCTGGCTGTGCACTGCCGAGGTCACGCCCCACAGAGGATAAAGATGGGGCCCAAGGTCTCATCACAGGCAGGCGGCAGGTAGCTTATTTGTGTGGTCCCCCACTCCCCACCCTAATAACTCCTAAGATGAACAGGGCCCTGGGAGGTCTCCAGATCGCTCTGAGACTGCAACCTGGAGGACAAGCGTACCTGGTAAGCAGTCACTGCAGCCGTGCGCCCTCACAGGCTTAGGTGGGCCTTCTGCAAAGTGGACTTTGGAAGGCTCCGGACAGAGGTGTAACTACCCTGTTTACAACTGACCTCTGCACATTCTGCCCCACAGCCAGCCCCGTTTCACCTGGGGACTCTTCCTGAAGTCTACACTGAAGGAATGCTGAGACTCATTTGGTTAGTCCAGACCCCAGGAAAGAGCTGGGAACCAGGAAGAAAGGAAAGAAGAAAGAAAGGGAGGGAGGGAGGGAGGGAAGGAAGGAAGGAAGGAAGGAAGGAAGGAAGGAAGGAAGGAAGGAAGGAAGGAAGGACTCAGCCACTGCTGGCTCCTGATCGTAGCTGCAAATTACAGATGAGAAGGAACCAAAGCCATGTAGGTGTTCCCTTCTCCCCTTGTCACCAACGCGTGTCTGTAAAGCTCAGCTGCCCTACTTGCCCTCTCCTGGGAAGCAGACAGGCCTCTCAGAGGTCCTGGTTTCCCCTGTGCCTAGCTCAGCCCACCTCCTTCCTGCCTGGTTTCAGCTTCACCTCTTGGTTTTTGACCCCGGGGTCCAAGCCAGCTGTTCACTCCCTTTCCAGATATCCAGGGGTTTCCTTGTTGGGCCTCAGGCCTGGCAGGGGATTTGGTGGGGACCATGCCTTCCACCTGTGATGTGCTAGGCCATCTTGGGGCCAGACATCCCAACTCAAAAGCAGAATTCCTTAGGCCTGCAGGGAGAAACCTCTGGATTTTGTTGCCCGGAAAAGTTCTAACATTGCCTGCTGCACACTCTACATCAGAAGCTTGCGTCCATGTCCCAACAACTCCAGCAACCTGAAGCAGGTTGAGTTACCCCCCTCACAGAGGTTGCCCGGGTTCCGCATGACTCCCATGACTGCCCTGGATGCAGGCCACCAGAAACCTGCTTCTTTTCCCCACGCAGGTCCCACTCTTCGCTCCTGGTGTGTGTTGGGTGGGAGGTCGGGTTTTTTTCCTGCTTAGTCTAGGCCCTCTGTGGCTTCGGGTGCCCTGGGGGACTGCTGCCTTGGAGCGCCTCAGCTTGGATTCACATTTCGGGGAGCCCTGACGCCAACGTCCTGTCCACTCTCCCTGCCTTGGCACGTGTAATTTCCTCGGTCTGGGAAGCCTTTTCCAGCACCCTTACCGGCTTCTTTGTGGCTCCCTCACCGGCCAGACGCAGCAGCCAACCAACGGACCAGCACAAGGTAAGGGGCTCCAGGCAGCCGAAAGGGGTGCTGGGGAGCAGCGGCAAGGACCGGGGTCGCTCCAGTCTCCTGAATGCCCCACTCGGCCGCCAGGGTAGAGAGCGGCGAGCGCGCTGGCCGAGGGCGCGGGGCGCGTGCGGGACAGAGCCTGGCGCGCTCACCTGGCTCGGCGGCCGCGGGCGATCGGGCAGGCGAGCCGGCGAGCGGGAGAGCGAGAGGGCAGGCGCTCGGGATCGGCGCCCGGCTGCGGCCGGCCTGCAGGGCGGAGCGGGCGGGGGCGGGGCCAACGCTGCGGCTACACTGCGGGCCCGAGCCCGAGGCGTTCGCCCCGCCCCGCAGCAAAAGTAGGGTCAACGTCAAGCTTCCAGCTACCTGCGGGTGGCGGAGCATGAGAAGGCTGCAGGGCTGCATCCGAGTCACCCCGAGACCCCCGAGACACTGCGCACCGGCTATGGGTCGCCAAGCCATCCTTACTCGGAGGGAGCGGGGTGGAGGTTGACTTTGGATGAAATGTCCCGGAAGAAGAAAACCCAAACCAAGCCCCCTCTTAGGTCTCCTAACTCCGTCTCACGCCACTTCCACACATGTCACGTTTTATTACATTTTCTTTTCCCGACCTGTGAGGAGAATTTCCCGGGTCTCGTCACGATGATCTCCCTCCATGAAGCCGTCCATCTGTGGCCAGCCTGCCCAGACCAGATTACCACTTTTTCTGGATGTGTTCACTGTCTTTCTCTGCCCCACTCATTCCATCTCTGAGCCATTGTGGTCAGCTAAAGGTTGTCCCTCTAGCATCAAACCCAGTGGTAGTATTTCAGGGAAGTACTTCTGTTACTTGCAGCCCATAGGTCTACAGGGAGTGAGTAACCAGTGCTTGCCTGCTCTGCCCCAACCCATTTTACAGATGGAAAGATGGCCCTAGGGACTGAATCTTGCCCAGGGCACCGAGGCAGAGGACTCAGGACAGCCTTTGTCTGGCAGGCTGTGTGGTTTCTACGATGGAGAGGCCCATCACTGGCTGCATGCTTGTGCTGGGGCATGATGCCCTGGACCTCAGACCAGCTGGCCTCATGCGCACACTGAGGACTTGTACCTCTAGCCTTACCCTTGCAAGAAATAACCAAGGCTTAGACGTCTTCGTATGCACTTCTAAAAACAAAACCCCCCAGAACGATTAAAAGCAACAATAGGCTTTTGCCATTGTTCTTGTCGCACACCACACTAGATGGTAAAACTCTGAGGACACCACACGATGTCATTGCAGGACACACAGAGCTCAAGCTGAACCAGAGTTGAAGCCTTCCTCTCAGATGGCTAGCTCTCACAGAGATGGGAGGGGCTATGCAGTCCACCGGGGAAGAAAAGCCACCAGTGGCCTCACCTAGTGCTAGACACTTTGTGCTATGGTACCACGCCCACTGGTGAAATACTGACACAAAAATCATGTGGTAACCAAACACTGTACTGTTGGATTTCAGGCCTGCTCCTCAGGAAAGAACTAATGCTGTCCTATAAACTGGTTAAAAGGCCATGCCAGGGAGGTTATGGGTCCTAAGAGATCCTGCTACTGCTGCCTTGCTAGATGGACATGTCAAACTGCCTTCTAATCACTTATGCTTATACACATTAGTGGCCAGGGAAGCTGCTCTCTGCAGAGGCCAAGAATTAATGAAGGGACTCACAACTAGCCAAAATGCGGAGAATACGTGACTATTGTAGTGCTCAGCCATGAAGGGGTCTGTGTCAGGCCGTTTCCTCCAGGCTCAGGGAGAAGCACAGCATGGAAGAGGGGGCGGCAGGAACGTGTGGTGTGGAGGATGGGGAGGAGTCCTACACAGTACTGTTTTCTGGACATCACAGTCCTTACACTCATGGACTCACAGAAGCTATGGTTGTCTGCTGCTCAAATCCTGCTCAAGATAGGTCAGCATTCCAACAGGCGGCACTAATTGACTCAGTAGGTTGCTTTTTTTTTTCCTTCTGAGCTAAGGACTGAAGCCAAGGCCTTGCTAGGCAAGAGCTCTACCACTGAGCTAAATCTCCAACCAGATTCGGTAGCTTCCAAAGAAAACAAAAAACAAAAACCAAGAAAGGCATGGAAGGGGTATGTTGGGCATTTGGGGTAGCTGTGGAGTGGGGATCGAGATTTGGAGGTGAATACGATCAAGGTACATGAAATAGAAGAGAAAATAAAAGATCTGTGGGGAATTCTTTTGAGACTGTCTCATTTAGCCTAAGCTGACCTCAAACTTGCTATGTAACCCAGGATGACCCTCTTGCCTCTGCCTCCCTAAAGCTGGGGTCTAGGCATGTACCCTACTCTAGGTGCTGGTGGCTGAACCCAGAACCTGTTCACACTACAGCTACATCCTTAAAACTGAGTTGTTTGAACCAGGGTCTGGCTCTTGCTATCCTGTAACTCACTGTGTAAACAAGACTGACCTCAAACTCACAGAATGTTCAGAATGCTAGGATTAAAGGCGTGTACCACCACCACTGTTTTTTTTTTTTTTTTGGTTTTTTGAGACAGGGTTTCTCTGTATTGTTTTGGAGCCTGTCCTGGAACTCGCTCTGTAGACCAGGCTGGTCTCAAACTCACAGAGATCTACCTGCCTCTGCCTCCTGAGTGCTGGGATTAAAGGCATGCGTCAGCACTGTGCAGTCCTGGTTTGTTTTTGTATTTTTCTTTCTGAGACGAGGTTTCACTGAGTTGCCCAGGCTAGTTTTGAACTAACTCTAGTTCAGGCAGGCCTTGAACTTTCATTTCAACTGCCTCTGGAGTAGCTTCGATTATAGTCATATACCAGCAGGTCTGATTAGCATTTATTCTTCAGAGGATGGAGAGACTGAAGTTAAAGGAGGTGAGGGACCCTGGTAGTTTTTGTGTCAACTTGACACAAGCCAGAGTCATCAGAGGAAGGAGCCTCAGCTGAGGAAAGGCCTCCATGAGAACCAACTATAGGCATGTTCTCAATAAGTGACCAGTCAGGTGGGTGGTGCCAGCCCTGGGCTGGTGCTCCTGGGTTCCAAAAGAAAGCAGGCTGAGCAAGCCAGGAAAACAGCTCCTCTCCATGGCCTCTGCATCAGCTGCTGCCTCCAGGTTCCAGCCTTGCTTGAGTTCCTGTCCTGGCTTCCTTAAGTGATGAACAGCAATGCAGAAGTATAACCAAATAAGGCCTCTCCTCCCCAACTTGCTTTTTGGTCATGGTATTTTGTTGCAGCAATGGAAACCCTAAGACAGACCCCTTCCCTCAAGAGCTGGTAGGTGGCAGGGCTGGAACTTGAACTGACGGGCTGAGTTCCCTGTGCTGGTGTATGTGGTGCTGTGGGAGTTGGAGAGAAGAGACTTGCCACCCTACACCTATAGCATCCAAGTTCTGCGGTTAGTGACCCCGTCTGCTGCAGCTCCCAGGGACTGCTGGCAGGACAAGACATGTAGGGCTAGGCATGTAGGAGGTGCTTTAGGGAGTGGAATAGGGGCTGCCGAGTTTGAGGAAGGGCGTTAGTGTAGCGGCTGGAAGAGGGTGGCCACTTGGGAAGAAACCCTGGCATGGGGTCAGTTCATTATGGACCCTTGGGGCCCAGGGCATTCGGCTTCAGGTTCCTGCTATAAGGAATTATTTGGGCAGAAATAGGGGGTAGCTGCCAGAACTCAGCCACCAGGGCCTCCTACTCTTGGTCCCACCAGACCCCACCAGCTCCCCACTCCCACCCCACCCCACGAGAGTAAATGGGTGCATCCAGGATTGAACACTTTCTGGGGTCCTCTCACCCTCACCTGAGACCAAGGCCAGGTTGTCTCAGGATGTGAGGTCCTCTGTCCCTACACTCGGGAGGCAGGGGGCAGTCATTGAGAGCTGTAGCTCTCTGGGGGATGGGTGTATGGGGGTCTAAGAGATGTGAAGTCATGTGGGCGTCGTAAGAACTGGTCAGTGAGGCCTGGGCTTCAGTTCAGGTGTAGTAGAGGGGTTTGGAGCAAACCGTTTCCAGTACTGAGTTGGGGAGAACAGCTCTATGCACTTTATGCTGCTGGGCTATCGGCGCCCAAGCCCAAAGGCTCCTTAGTGTGTTGTCTCTGAAGTAAATGGTGTGTGTCTGAACCCTACGGGGCTAGCTCCTCTCGGATGCAGGTGGCATTAGATGTACTACGGCCATTGCCCAGAGATTTCTGGAGTTGGGGTCAGAGAGGGTGTGCACTGGCAGTGGTTCTAAAACCTCACTATACTTTGCCCTCCAGCCCTCATGTCTGTCAGTCAGAACTGGGCGAGTCTCCGTCTGAGCTGCTGGCAGGGGATAAAAGTGCTGAGGTCTAAAGGGTGGAGATCACAATCTCCTACTAGATGCTGGAGGTCTGCGTACCTCAGGTGCAGGCCTGCAGACAGTCCTTCTCATTACCTTCTAAGGCGGAGACTGCGAGCACGCCTGCCTGCACGTGCCCACAATTCCAGCATCTGTAGGCAGGATTCAAGTTCTAAGGGGTTGAATGTCTTGATACGAGAATAAAATGTACATAAAAGGCGAAATGTACATAAAAGGGGAAGGTGACCCTGGCCAAAGGAGTTTGTAAGACTTTTTTTTTTTTTGAGACAGGGTTCCTCCGTGTATCCCTGGCTGCCCTGGAACTCTATAGACCTGGCCGACCTCCACCTCAGAGACTGACCTGCCTCTGCCTTTTGGGAAGCAGGAGTGCTAGGACTAAAGGCGTGCACCACCATCATCCAGCATTTGTGAGGCTTTTAAGTAAGTCATCCACACAAAAGTTCCCTCCCTGGAAGATCCTCAAAGCTGACAAGGAGGTCCATATACAGACAGGATGGGAGCAGACAGGATGGCTTGCTTTCCCTGACCACTAAGCTCCTTGGGTTAGTTGATGCTCAGCAGATACTCAACACAGCAGAGCCACCTTCTGCACCTCCTGTTCGGAAGGCTAAGTCCACGCGTGGGGCTCCCACAGCACTCACTATACCCTGAGAACAGATACTTCCCATTTTTGGGTAAGGGAGGCAGGAGCAGCACGAGTGAGTCTATGTGAGTTTTAAGGGTTGGGAGAGGTTGGTGGGGGCTGACTGAGGACACACTGAAACACCGAGGCTGCTGCCACCGCCAGCTGGTGCAAGTTTTATTGAGACAATGTACAAACAGGCCATGGAAACAAGGGTTTTGATGCTGGGACCAGTAACGTAAAATGGAATACAAAAATAAAAAGGCACTAATCTGTTAAGAAAAGACACTCAATGTATTCTAAGAATATAAGTCATTTAATACTGTTAATTTTATAGCACAAAATAAAACAAGCTATGATCCCCAAAAATAATTTTAAAAGCTTACACAGAAAATATTATTGCCTGACGCTTATGATCTTTAAGTTATACATGTCAAAAGAGTTTTATGTCGTTTTAAAACACACAGTGAAGACCGTCTAGAAGCAAGGCCACCGTTCCTCCTGTCTCAGAGAACTGTCCTCCTGCTCCTCTAGAATATACAAGCAGCTCAGTGTCCAGACTCACAGTAGTCCCAGGGATGTGGTTCTCTGGTCCCATGGTGAGGAGTCCACAGAGAGCATTAGTCTTAGGTACTGTGTTACAACAATCAAGGATTCACTCATTTTAAGAGGTTAATGAACATAATATTAAAAGATTAAATTATAAACACCTGGAACAAGAACACATCATCCCTTAAAAACACTCACTATTCTGAACAAAAGTTACAAGAGCGGTGGCCATCAGTCCTGGCCCATTCTGTCTGTAAACAGCTGGAGGAAGGCTGGCACAGCGTCAGGGACGTGCAACTCCAAGGGAGGGCAGAGTCTCTTCCGTTCTGGTGAGCAGAGGGTTCTGCGTTTGGGTGACCAAAGTCAGTGCACCCTGGTAACCCTGCAACAGGTGGCGTCAAAGCAGTGCAGAAGTGACAAGGCTGCCTTCTGCACGGGAGGTCCTGTCCGGGAACCAGGACTGCAGTCTAGCTGTCTGCCTAGTTGTTTCCTTCTCAGACACAACAGCCACGGTGAGTGGGTTGTCACCCCGTACTCTTGACAACACAGCAGAGCAGACCATGTCATGATGATGGTCACAGAAGGAAAGCCCCGGATCACATTCCCCTCTGAGGCCGAGGGTCTGCCCAGAGTGGGACCTAGGCAACATGCCACTTTTTATCAGTGCGCAAAGAAAATTTTCCCAATTAAGAGACTGATGAGCTTTTAAGTCAGGAAATTACTACTTTTGGCACATATTCTGAGAGTTCTGAACTTGTCTTTATTTCCAGCTTTGGATCTGAGGGAGCTGTAGAAACATTTACAGGGGCCAAATTAGCTGATTTCAGAAACCAAACTCCAGGTTTATGGGACATTTTGATCCTGAACCTACACGCAGCCTTGCTGGTCAACAGACTCGAGAAGGGAAACCCTGTTCTCAAAAATGGCTGCCTGCGCAAGCAAGCTGCTATAATCAAAAGGCACCAAGCCCCTTTAGTTAAATGTAGTTTCAAAAGACTTTAAGAGCTGGGTGTGGTGACTCAAACCTTTGTAATTTCAGCCGAGGCTGGGATGGAAAATTTGAACCTAGCATAGGCAATTGATGGAGATCACATCTCAAAATGTAAAAAGAACTCAGTGGCAGAGGGTTTATGTAGCATGTGTAAGGCATGAGGTGCAAGCCCCAGTAACAGGGTGTGACTCCTTGGGGTTGTGTCCTCTGTGAACAAGGCATGTATCCAGTGCAGGTATCAAAAGGCATAGGGCTAAGCTGGGTCACTAGCTAGAAGGCAAGTATTGTTCTAGGCAGGGTTTGGGGCTCACTCAACAGACCTGGCTAAACACTGCAGCTTTCAGAGACAGAAAGCTGACCTCTATCACTTTTTTTCTGGAAAATCAGACAGGGAAACATGATGACACCATCCCCAAAAGACCTTTTTGTCACATGAGCATTCTTTAGTATGTCACTTATCAGCTTGATGGAACACTAATTTAAAGAGAAAGGGATAAGGCTCAAGACGTGGCTCAGTGGCTAAGAGTACTCGCTGCTCTTCCAGAGGACCCAGGTTCAATTCTTAGCAACCACATAATAACTTCCGTTCCAGAGGATCCCACGCCCTCTTCTGGCCTCCTTAGGCACTGCACCTATGTGATGCACATTCATATATATAGGGAAGACCCCACACACTTTGGGGGGAGGTGTTCCTAAAACAGTCTCTCTCTAGAGGCCTGGCTGTCCCGTAACACACTACAAAGACCAGGCTAGCCTTTAACTCTTTGAGACCTGCTTGCCTCTGCCTTTCTGAATGCTGGGATTAAAAGTGTGTGCCACCATGCCCAACACACACACACACACACACACACACACACACACACACACACACACACACACACACACACACAACCCTTTAAAAGATAAATATAGTGGACAAATGATTGTGTTAGTTTTGTCTCCTGAATATATTTCACTAATTCTCACAGCCTAAGAGCCAGGGCCACAGTTGCAGATGTTGTGTAAATGCTGGAGCTACTCTAAGTCACTGCTACATTTCTGGGTCTGCTGTGGTGCTGTGTGTGGAGGTGTGTCCTCGTCAGGGTTCAGCTGAAACAGCATACTACAGAAAAGTTCTAGAACCCAGGTTTGCCACGTGTGGATAAGGGATCAGACACACATTTGTACCAGCTGACTTGCATAATGGGTCATGGTATACGGGTTAAGGGTTCCAGAGGCTGCATCTTCTTTGCTCAGGAGCATTGTGTTCGGTTCCACTGAGGCTGTGGAATAGAACAGACAGTACTACCACTTTCAAGCTGCCTGGATAGGCTGGGTCTGGACAAGGGCTGACAAGCTGACAAGACTCTGTGGTGAATCCACTATTCTATAAACCTCACTAGTTCTTTTTAAAAGGGTGTACCATTGAAAAGCTAGCCAGAACTGACCAAGTGCTCCACCCTTTTCTGCTCAGGCTCCAGAGATTACGGCTCACCCTGGTTTTTCCCGGATGCACACAGCACAGCACACCATGACTGCTGTTTGTATGTACTGTTTGCCACATGGTACACAGGGTATCATGGCAACCAAAAGATAAAGGCCTCTACTTCAGGGTGCCTTTTATATTCCTTTAGTTACGCACAGCAGCTTCAGTTTGGAAGCTCAGGGACACGTATTGTTCCTTAGACTATCACAAAAATCCAACCTACTATTTAAAAATCTGTTCAGAACACACAACTCTAATGAATTAGTCTTCCAAAACCAAAACTAAACAAAAGAAAGTGGAAACAAGCCAGATTTCAGAAGTTCGGACAGAACTGTCTGGAGTTTACTTCCTCTGTCGTCCCAAGAAAAACAAGTTGGCAGCAAAGCCACTGCTCTGTAGCCCAGCAAGGGCAAGAGCTTGCAGAGGCTAACCCTCTCCATGTGGACGCCAGCAGGCTCACACGTTCTATGACAAGCACACAGAGTCAGCCTCAAATACAAGCAAGGCAGTGATGAGAAGGAAGACCTTTCTGTGTTCAATTCTCTCTACCTGTGCACTTCCACCAGTTTTCCAGTTTATAATCCAGAAGAACTCTAAAATCAGCTACTCTTTGACAGCATGACTATGATACAAATGCCAAGAGGCAGCTGCTGGAGGCATTCCAAATGTACAGGAGACCGCCAATGTATGGAAGCTGGTCACCAGCAGCTCGGTGTGACTTGCATGTGAGAGACTGCTTCCCACTTCAAAGGAGACTATGACAGGCAGAACAAGGCAGCAGCAGGGACGGCAACAGCAATCACTCGTTGTCATCTGGGTTTTGAGGGTCAAAGATTTTAACGTGTGTGAAAGGGAAAAGCCCTTTGCGCCCATTCACCTCGCCTTCCCATTGGCCATTTATATTCATCCTTGTGACCTTCACAATGTCACCAACCTGTAGGGATAGAGAAGACAAAATTAGCATCATTGTGCAAACAACAGAAAGACAGTTTTACATTAAACCACACATGCTTATCTATCCAGACTAGGGCTACCCTTTTTTCTTCAGTGTTTGGACCAGAAAATCAAGTACTATAAAGACACAAAATATCACCAGCACACCCAGGACACATCTCAGTTGGTAAGCATCTGTGAAGCAGCTTCTGAGCACAAAGCAGTCATCACCCCAGTGGTTACTAATAAATGAACATACAGGTGCATGTCAAGCTGCACAGGCTGGTGCTCATAATCCCAGCATATAGAAGGCCAAGGCCCAAACAAGCTGGTCTCACTGAGATTCTGTCTCAAAAAAGGAAGTATATTGCTTTGATAGTATATATTTTTAGATTTATTTATTTGTACACCTGCAGGCCAGAAGAGGGCACCAGATCTCATTCATTACAGATGGCTGTGAGCCACCAAGAACTTGCCATGAAAGCATAAGGTCCTGAATTTCATCTCCAGAATACAAGAAAAAAGGGTTGGACATCAGCAGAGAGCTGTAACAAAACCTGGTGAGGCAGAGGAAGGTGAATCCTGGTAGTCTAGCCTACTTGGTGAGTTCCAGGGTCACCTAGAAACCCTGACTCAAAAGATGGACATTGCATAAGGACCAACACCCGATGTTGACCTCTGACTCCTCATACACAAAACACAATGACAAAAACATGTATGAAGGAAGGGAAGAAAGGAGAGGAGAGGAAAAGAGGGAATCTGCTCACCTTAATCACAGGAGTGGAACTTCTATCAGCAACATCACCTCACTCACTATGGCCCTAAGTATCCATGATGCCACCCTGAGCTGTTCCCTGACCTAGTGGGCAGTGGGTGGATGTGAGGGACAAGGTCTTACTACATACGTAACTGAGGCTGGTCTGCCCTCCAGTCCCGAGTGCCAAGCTTACAGGTGCAAATCACCACCTGAAGTTTCCTTAGCTCTAAGCTTCTGAAATCCATAAAGATATAACTCACCAAGCCTGATGACATGAGTTCAATTCTAGGACTCAAATGATGTAAGGAGAAAACAGACTCCTGTATGCCATGTTGCCTGCCACACACCATGCTTGTTTGCATACACACATATACACGATAAATAAAAAAATAGAATGAAACAGACAAAAATGCAGGTGTACGAATTCTATCCATTGCTGAAAGACAGGCACCCAGAGTTAGAGATTAGTTTGCTCATCTAAGAGAAGCTAGAAATTTTATTGGAAAAGAGGTCTTTGCTGGGCAGTGGTAGCGCATACCTTTAATTCCAGCACTAGGGAGGCAAAGGCAGGTGGATCTCTGAACTTGAGACCAGCCTGGACTACATAGTGAGCAGCCCAAAAATACATAAATAAAAGAGGTTTTCAAAGCATTTTGGGGATCCAGAGAGTTCTGGGAAGTACTTTCAGGGCCCAACAAGTATTTATCTGATCAGGATTTTCAAAATTGTATTTATATAATTATCACAAAAAGTATAACCAAAGGTGTGCTACCATTGCATATTAACCTTCACTGTTCTGATAATCAACTTTTTATGATCTTTAGAAGGCTAGCCTAGCCGGGTGTTGGTGGCGCACGCCTTTAATCCCAGCACTCGGGAGGCAGAGGCAGGCGGATCTCTGTGAGTTCGAGGCCAGCCTGGTCTACAAAGTGAGTTCCGGGACAGCCTCCAAAGCCACAGAGAAACCCTGTCTCGAAAAACAAAAAACAAAAAACAAAAACAAAAAAAAGGCTAGCCTAAAAAAAAAAAAATCTACCACTCCTTGCAACAAAATAAAGTTAGAAACCAACGGAACCCTGAGTTGGTACAAGACTGCATGTGTGCCAAGACTGTAAGTTGTCCATGATGTTCCCAATTGCTTCTGCCCATTGTAATTTTCTAAAAAGATGGGGTCTCAAAGTACATTGGGTCTGCAGAGATAACTCAGTCATTAAGAAAACTTGCTGCTGTTCCAGGATACAGGTTCAATTCCCAGCACCCACATAGCAGCTCTCAACTGTCCACAACTCCACTTCCACGGGGATGCAATGCCTCCCAGACACTCAAGTGGGCACAGATATACATGCAGGCAAAACACTCACATCCATGAAATTTTAAAAATGTTTGGCATGTATGTATTTGCGTGTACTGTGTGCACATATGTAGGAGTGTGCGTGGAGGGCTGATGTGTGGAAAGGGCAGTTTTCAGAAGTTAGTTCTTTCCATTGAGTGGGGCCAAGGGGTAACTCGGGTCCCAAGACAGGCGGCACCTTTACCCACGGAACCATGTGGCTGGCCCTTAACTAGTATTCTTCAACTTTGCCAGTAACAGGGGTCCTATGAAACTAGTAAAGGGGAGCCAGAGGTAAGAGTATATATCTTGCTGGTACAATGCTTGTCTAGCATGCCTAAGTCCCAGTGTCTGAGTCTCAGCACCACAAAGGGCAGGGGAGGTACATAAGAAAAATGGCATTTCAAGTGGCAGATGTTAAAAGAAATGAAGGGGGAAAAAAAAATCACACACCGAGTTACATGTTGTGGCGTGTCTAGAATCCAGCACTTAGAAACTGAAGAAAGGAGGATCAGGGAAATGAGGGTTAGCCTTGGCTACACAGTGAGATCAAAGTCAGTAGCCTTGACTCCACCAAGTCCTGTGTCAAAAAGTCAAAATTAAGTAACTGTATACATAATAAATAAATAAATATTTTTAAAATGTGAGAAGCAGAAGCAGGCAGATCCTGTTGAGACCCTGGGTGGCCAGATGGTTCAGGAGATACAGGCACCTGCCCTACAGTTGGACCCCACAGTAGAAGGAAGAACACCAGCTCCTTCAGATGTTCTTAGGCACACACATAAATACTTATAATAAAAGGAGGAAAGCACTTTCCCCACCAAACTACTCCCTGGTTTTAGCATGGGAGGGATTTTCTAAAGACATCTTTTAGAGGACTAATGGGCATGCTCCATCCCTATGATCCTAGCACCCGAGTCGCTAATACAGGAGGACTGCTTATCTTGAGATCATTGTGGGCTCCAGGGTGAGAGCCTGTATTGACAGACTCTAATCTAATCTTTGTCAGCCGGGTATCACAGTATTTATGTAGCCCAGAGTGGCCTGGAATTTACCATGTAACCCAGGCTAGCCTTGAACTTTTAATCCTCCTGCTTCAGCCTCCAGTAGATAGTGACTACAGGTATATGTCAATATCCAGGGAACATTCTTGCTTCTGATATGGTGTGATCATGGAAAAAAAGCATCATTGCCAGTAAAGAAACAGAAAAAAATTTCCAAAAATTAGTTGCAAGAACTGACATAACACCTAGGACAGTAGTGTAAGACAGGCTCCTGCGCTGCTAGCTACTATAGTAGGGCTCAAAACCAACCTGGGCAACAAAGTAAGACCTACTCCAGAAACAAGAGTCTGGTCTGTCCTTATGGGTTTGAAACCCAAAGGCTAATTTCCATGGGCCCTGGACAGTCACACACCACCACAGCACCAACAATGCACTAATGCCTTGGGGGAAAAGCTTCCCATTATTGGAATGTGACAGAGATGAGGTAAGTTGTGACCTTGTGTGGACCTCCAGGGCTGATCAACATGATATGGATATAAACTACAGCCAGCCTGGGCTGGTTCTAGCCCACCCTATCTACAGAAAGGATTGCCTTGCTGAGCTGCTTCTGCTCTGTGTTTCTCTGTGGGACACTGAGACTGTTCTAAGACACGGACACTTAATTATGCTCAGCATACTGCTTCATCTCAGCAAGCAAAAGCAGAAAATGGTGCACAGTGTTGTGAAGCTGTAACACTGGGAGGCAGGAGACCCCTTCCAACTGGAAGGGAGGGAAACACACAAACACATCCTTATTGAATTCAGGGCTTCCTGGCTAAGTATCCTGTCTAAAACAAACAATACAAAGCCAGAACACTGTTAATGTGAATTTAATTCTAGGCAATGAAAGAAAACCAACTAATGAAATAGAAATCTGAGAATCCCAGCCAGTCATTGAAGGGAACTTGCACAACAGGCTTTGAGAAAGCTAATTCCATGGTCTCTGCATCAGCTCTGTACCTCCAAGTTCCTCCCATGAGCTCCTGCCCTGACTGCTTTCCATGATCACAGTGATGTAAGTGTACGTGAAACAACCACCCACACTGCTTTTCATCAATCAAGGTGTTTCATGTCAGCAAATGAAACGCCAACTAAGACAAATGTCCACGCCTGTAATCCCAGCACTTGGAAGTGGAAGCAGGAGGATCAGAAGTTCAGGGTCATCCTCAGCTGTACAGCAAGTTCAAGGTCATAGAGGTCCTACATGAACACAACAAAACACACCAGTCTTTGAAATAGTTAGCCAGAAACAGGAGAGAGTGGCCAAGTGCTGGACACCTAATCAGAGTTAACAAGGATTCAGAAAACAGAAAAAAAGACAAAATTAAAAATTCCAGAGGAACAACAGCAGAGTCATACACATATGTAAGACCAGTCCCTGGAGCTGGATGTGGTGTGCACCTACCTGTAGTTCTGATGACTTGGGAGGTTAAGACAGAGGATGAAACCATCCTAAGTGAGGTAACCCAAAACCAGAAAGACAAATACAGTATGTACTCACTCGTAAGTGAATACCAGACATAAAACAAAAGATACCCAGCCTACACTCCATAACCCCAGAGAATCTAGAACCCTCTTCCAGAAACAGATGGAAGCAGATGTAGAAATCTAAGCTCCTGGAGTACAATCAAAGTGAGGGAGGAACAATAATATGAACAAAGGAGTCAGGACCATGATGGGGAAACCCACAGAATCAGCTGAGCTAGTGAGAGATCACTGACTCAGGTCTGACAAAATGGGGAACCTGCATAAGACCAAACTAAAGTCCCTTAATATAGGTGACAATGTTGTAGCTGGGACAATATATGAGGCCACTGGTAGAGGGTTCAAGATCTAACATTAAAGCACAAACTGACTTAGTGGAGCCCATT